GGTGGGTGCAGCAAGAGGCCTGGAAGAGCAGAGCAAGGAACTCAAGCAGGGATGTTGTTGTAATACCTGGCTCAAATCACTGAGGGATGAGCAATCATCCAGACTGCTGCAGTTCTGATGCCTGCAGCCCGGCAAGACGAAAGGAGCACATCCCACAAACCTCTTTGGAGCAGCCATGGGCCCTAAGCATATAAAGAAAATGGTCCCCTTAAGCCTCATTATCCACGGAGGGATTTCCTGGCTTCTGGAAGAGATTGGATGTTGCACTGAGTGGCTGGCTGGGATGGAGAGATCTTTCCTTGGGCAGATTTGCTGGGGACTCTGTCTCTGCTTCACATCTCTGCTCCCTGGTACCCACTCAGTCTGTCTGTGACACATGGCCTCTCCTTCAGTCAGGGGCTGCTCAGTGATGTCCATCCAGCCTTTCCAGACCCAGCCCTTGGGGATGCTCTGAACCAAGGCTTCTGTTTGGAGGAGCAAGCCACGTGTAGTCTCCCTAGGCTGTAAGCCAGCTGCCCTGGCCAGGGATGGGGTGGTGTAGAAGTGGTGACTGTTCCCTTTGGTGGGGCAGCTCAGAGACCAGAGCTCAGCCTGGCAGGACACTGATGCCCTTGTTTGCTCTGCAGTATTTGCCAGGGGATATTTGCTCTGCTTTATGTGGGTGGAGGTAAAAGAGCAAGGTAAGGGCTCCTCACCACCTCCCTTCCCTGGGGGCCCTGCCTCACTCTTTGGTGACAGCGTGGCAAGCTCCAGGCACCCTGTTCTGTAAGGAGCAGTGGGGACACTGGGATCCTAACTTATCACACTGGAAGAGGTGCTGAGCTCCCGGCAGTGCCAGCATGTACTGTTGGTGAGGCTGTGCCTGTTCTGCTCAGGACCAAACAGTAGCCTACCATGGGATGGCTTTGAAAAAAGCTTATTTCCCAGGCCATGGCTTTGATACATTGGCACTTTGCTTTACACCATCCCAGGGTCCTGCTGCAGCCTGCTGAAGTACACAGACCTCTCTGTGATGGGCAGCCTCCTTCCCAGAAAGGAGAACAGCTCCCCAGTTAGGCAGATATATGTGAGTGTAATGGACTTCTCATCTTTACCCCTGCCCTGGATAACTCCTGAACACACAGTGTGAGACAAAGCCACAGTCACTGGGTGTTAATATAGCATGGGGAGAAAGAACAGGGTAGAGGAGCCTTACTTGAGGAGCCCTTGGTCTTTATCCCATAGGTAAGACCATACACTCACTTCTTCTCCCTTCTCTGCTCTTCCATCTCAGCTAATCTTGTCCTGCTCTGATTTGAACCCAGATTCCAAAAGACATACAGGAAAGCCTATAGTGTATGCTATGCTTAATATTCTATTAGACATGAGAAAATCCACTTTTCTATGACTGCCTGGGTTATGGGCAAAGCCTCAGCTGGAGCTCACACACTGAGACATCAGAGAAGCCTCCTGATTTCCTCAGTGCTGCTGCTCCCTGCACCCTTGCCCTCTCACTGGTTTTCCTTTGCTTTTCCCTCTCGCTCCCACCTCTCATCCTTGAGCACCTGCTGATTTTTCCATGCCCGTCTCACCCCGTGGCCCTGGCTCCAGGTTTCCAGATGCACTCTCTCCTTTGCTAAGGTGTCACTGTGTGCAGCTAATGCCTGCAGAAGGTTTTGTGCTGCAGCCATGGGGCTATTTCTACATCTGCAATGTGAGGAACTAAGAAATACCACGGAAACCTTCCCTCCAGAGCCTCAAACCATTTGCAAACAGGGTGTTAGTGCAGATGAACTCAACACCAACAGAACACCAGGCATTAGCTGCACAGCTGAAAGAGGATGGGGCATGCGAAAGCTGTAGCAAAGACTGATATAGAGGCCTGTGTCTTTCTATATGAGAGTTGGAAAGACCATTCCAGTGGTCTTTGGAAAGACCACCTGGCACCTGGGGATGAAATGAAAGGACTGCCATGGTTCTTGTGCAAGATCCGTGTCATTAGGTATCACTTTTAATCCTGGTCTGGGCCATTCAGCAAGTTCATACTCTGTCTATGGCAGGAATTGCCTCTTACTGTGTAAAACACCTTGCACAGCCCAATGCCTGCACAAAATAAACATCATGCTCTTTTGGGGTAGCCTCACAGTGTCCTTGTAGCTGAGCTGTTTGGATGAGTGATAGGGTCCCTGCTACAGATACATCACAAATCACAAACTGAATTTGAGAGCCTGCATCACTTTTACCACCTTCCCCCTGCTCTAAGACTCACTTGTGACCTCTGGCTGGAACTCACCCATGGTGAAGAGACTCTTCTTGGGCTGCCAAAGGTACTGGTATGAAGGGGCTCTTGCAGAGCTTGCTGGGGTCTGAGACATCCTCAACTACAGCTCCATCCTGTGCTGGAGGTCACAGGAGGTAGCATCTCACTTCTCACCTGGGTTTCTAACTGAAGTCCCTGATGATGTCAGTGACATCCCCATGATGTCAATGGCAGACACTGGAGTACAGGTCATTTTCTGTCCAAACTCTGCTGTAGCGGAGCCATGGCGTCCGTTTCCTAGTGTGTTTGGTGGCTGTTATGTAAACCCAGGGCTGCTCAGGGAGCTCATGGGACCTCTCCAACCCCTGCAATGCCAGTGAACAACACCCAACAGATGTTTGTGCAGCATGCACAGAGAAGGCTATGGTGACCAGTGCTGAGTGTGCACAGCTTGCAGCCTCTTTGTTACGTTCACCCTGGGCTTGGACACTTGTTGCTATTGGCCATAAAAATACCCATTTCCTTTCTAAATTGAGCTTCAATACTCGACTCTTTGGCCTTGGGTGATAACGCACTGCACAAGTGCTTAGCAGATACCCTGTGACTCTTCCTCCTGGTTTGTTCTGGCACAAATGATCCAGTTTTCAGTTCAATAACATTTTTTACAACAGAAGCCAAGGAGTCAAATATCTTTCAACTCATCTCATTAATAGAAAACTGCAGGTCCTGCATGGAGTTCCTGGTACCTGTGAGGGTGGTTTCTGGTGGCTCAGCAGCAGAAATGCTGCGCTGGAACCTTCAAAGCTGCCCATGGGTCTGCTGTGGAAGGTGGTTGCAGATCAGGTGTGTTATGAGTGGAGTAAGAAAAGAGCGCTGAGACACCTGGGGTTGGTTTGCCTTCAGGTTTGGATGCTTCATAAGGCTGAAATCCCACCTCCTGAACACAGGACTCTAATGCTTTTTTCCACACCCTGAGGTTTTCCATCCAGCTGCAGCGCGATCCTAGAGGGATGGAGGTCTCCAATAGACCCCCATCCACCAGCCCTGTGAAAACATCCTGGGTAGCCTAGGGTGTCTCCACTGGATCTAGGATTTCTGAGGCTGGATCATCTCACCCAGTTCCATTTCTCCTGTGTCTGGGATACTTGTTTGCTGCTATCAAAGCCTTCTTCCCTCCTCAGGAAGCAAGGAATGACATTTCCAAGCCAGGCAAACCAGCCATCTCCACAGACTTCAGCCTCCTGTTAATGCTAAACCCGTTCCCTACATGCTCTTTCTCCCAGCCATGGGTCTGCGAAGGAGGGATAAACAGCATTTGAAGCCAGGCAAAGTGCTGTTCACGCTGGCACAAATACATTATCCCATCTGGAACACTTGAGAAGTGATGCTGGCATCATGGTGGGGGATTTTGTTTCATCAAAGGTGACAGACAGGGGTGTTACAGCACTGAAGATCAAGTCATTGGACTGAACATAGCTGCCAATATCTCAGTTGTCTTTATAGGTTTGCTATGAATCTCCCCAAGGCCAGGTTGGATGGGGCTTGGAGCAACCTGCTCTAGTAGAAGGTGTCCCTGCCCATGGCAGGGGGTTGGAACTGGATGAGCTGTAAGGTCCTTTCCAACCCAAACCATTCTGTGATTCTATGACTCTATGTTTCTCACTCCTTTTTCTTCCTAGGCAGCACTGGTGTGTACAGGGGACTCTGTGTCACGTGTTGGTGATGGTCAGGTATTTTTTTCTGGCACACAGGTAATCTCTACTGTTTCTTTCTCATAGCATCCTTGTCACACTGTGGAAAGCATCCTTTACAGAAGGACTCAAACCCTGGTTTATGGGGTAAAAATCAGCACACCAAGCATCCTGGGGAGATGCTGCTCAGCACCGTAGCCTGAATGATAGTCCACCTGAATCCCATCTTGATGCTCACTCCTGTGGCCCTAACACCCCTTCAAGTGTGCCATCCGTACCTTCATTCTTCATCCTCCCCTCCACAGACCAGTGCAGCTGCTGACTGGAGACCACCCTGCAAACTGATGTTGGCATTCCTACTGGAGATGTGGGTCAGAGATGCACCAGAAACCGGGAAAGTGGCATTTGAACCCTCCTGGTGCTGGGTGTGGAGCAGGACCCGGCATGGGGTTGGCATGATGCATCAGAAGCCTGTGCAGTGAAGAGCTCGGCGAACCAGGGAGGGTGCTTTCTGTTTCGTAGTATTTTAATTCGTGTATTTTGTATTCCCTCGCAGCAGCTGGGTGCAGGAGCCATCCGGATTTGCGGGGAAGGAGGGACATCTCGTGGTCACACCACGAACATCTCTCCTGCTTCCTGTCTCCAGGGACACTCACATAGGACATCCCCCGTTCCCAAGGCAGGGTACCACCCCGGCATCCTCCCGCGCTGCCCGTGGAGCCCCATGGCCTCTCCCCTTCTCATCCATGGGCTGCAGGGAGCACCGTGCAGCCTGAATAAAGAGATGGGAAATGTTCGCATACAGTTGTTTATTATTGACTTAGGGCAGAAGGGTGGCACCACCTGGAGAGATTGCTCCAGAGCTTGATGACCTGGTGTGCCCCAAGGAGGTGCAGACAGGACATGATCCCACCCCTGCCCATGATATGAAATAGGCTGTAGTATTGCCACCAGTGGCATCAGAAGGAGGGGTGAGATTGTGCACCCACTGTACCACCACCCCAGACATGTTCCCCTCTTCCCAGGGCTGCAGCTGCAGAGCTGAGGGTCTTTTCTGTATCCAGGTGTGCTGCCCTCTGTGACAGAAGCAGTGCCTGCAGAATGGGTACAGGCCTCCAATGTGGATGAAGAAGAAGCTATGCCAGCTCTCAGCCACCTCCTTTGTCCCCATGATAAACACAGAGCTGGCAGCATCCACCTCCCTCGTGGCCCTCCTCATTCCCTATCTCCGAATGCATTGTGGTGGCACACAGGAGAAAGGGAAAGGCCTGAACTGAGCCATTGCAGGGTGCTGGCTTTCCCCCTGGTGCTGGCAGGACCGTGGGTTACTGCTGAGGCTCTGCTTCATATTGCTGCTCTGTGGAGGTATAAAAGTCCTCAAGGACCGACTGCAGGTACTCGAAGGTCGGGCGCTCCTCAGGCTTGTTTCGCCAGCATTTCAGGATGATGTTGTAGAGCTCCCCGGGGCACATGTCTGGGCAGGGCATGCGGTAGCCCCGTTCCAGGTTGCGAATCACCTCGGGGTTGGTCATCCCTGGAGAGCAACACAGCCAAATAGGAGTTATCACCCTGAGGGTGAAGCTCAGTGCTCCCAGAGGCTCACATGCAGATAAAGATGGAGGGATATGAGGGACTGTGATGCTGGGCCACAGTTGGGAACCAACCCCTCTTAATGGCTGCAATTTCCCCTCCATCCCCCTGTCCCCTCCCTGATTCCCCTTTGTAAGTCGTACCTACCACAGGTTCATGGAGCTTAGGAAAGGAATCCCATCATGAAGAGACAGGCGTGCATGTCTGGGCACACGTGTCTACACTTGGATATGTGCCTTCAAGCATAAAGCAGTGCTAGATACTTGGAAGACAACGCACACTCCTCCTATATTTGCCATGTGCTATACCTGGGTAAGGGATCCTGCCGTAGGTTATGATTTCTGTCAGGAGGATCCCGAAGGACCACACGTCAGATTTGATGGTGAAAACTCCAAAGTTAATGGCTTCTGGTGCTGTCCATTTGATTGGGAATTTTGCACCTGTCCAGAGGAAGCAAAGGAAAATAGTAAGTGGAGGTACAGCATCTCCCTCTGCTCACACAGGCACGGGCAAGCTGTTCCCCAAAACTGAGCCCTGGGTTCTGCACGTTCTTGACTGTACTGGGGGGCTGTGGTGAGACTTCTTATTGAAGGAACTGTGGCATTATGGAGATAACATCACAGTTCCTTCTATTTATTTTCCTTCTAGTATTTAGGTTAGATCCTAGGCAGAAGTTCTTCCCTGTGAGGGTGTTGAGGCCCTGGCACAGGTTGCCCAGAGAAGCTGTGGCTGCCCCATCCCTGGCAGTGTTCAAGGCCAGGTTGGACGGGGCTTGGAAGGTCTAGTGGAAGATGTCCCTGCCTGCGGCAGGGGGCTGGAACTGGGTGAGCTTTATGGTCCCTTCCAAGCTGAACCATTCTGTGGTCCTACGATTCTATGATAGGGCCAGAGGGAGGTAATTGTTGCCTGTCTCCTGTTTTTGTTAAAAGGTCATTTCTACTTAGCATCTCTTTGCCTTTCTTGGTTCTTTTTCCATTGTAATCAAGGCTATTTCATCTTAAAATACTTTTTCACATATATATGCTTATAAACATTCCTTGATACCAATACACAGATGCCAAATAATGAAAAAACTTGGTGCCTTAGGTAACTGATAATGTGAATACCAAAAAACTCTAGGTAGACTATTTTGCTGATGAAGTTAGAGGAATCTGCATTCTTATAACATGTTTACATCTCTTGTGTGTTTTGTGATGGGGGATCTCAGGAATAGAGCGAGGAATGGAAGGGTAGTTGACCCGTGCTCACTGAGGATATGATGCTGAAGTGAGCCATGCTTGCAGCAGCCCTTGAGCATCCATCAACATTTATGACAGACCCGTCACTCTTTATGTAGAATGATGCCATGAGGAACCAGTGGGTTTCTGTAGCCCAAACTACATGTCTGTGCTATTCAAAGCCAATGCCTCAAGCAGCTTTATCAGAGGACGACAGTAGGACTTTATTCTGTATAAAGGAAGGAGTCTGTTTTTAGGAAAAGTGCATAAACAATACAGCAAATATAAATTCTCCAGTTCTTAAAGCTGCATGCATCTACCAAAAACAAAAGAAGTGCCATTTTATTTTGTCCACTAAGTTCTTGCTATGCACGCTGCGGACAGCAATGACCCTTTTGCAATGGCCATTTCAGTTCAGCTAAGGCCAAAAAAAACCCAAACCCAAATGCCTTTGATAAGTAGGAACTGAATGTGTTAAAGGCTGCAGAGGAAAACACATTTTTATTTGTATATATCCTTTAAGGACTGCAGGCCTAAATGCAGTGTGTGAAATAAGTGCCTTTGTTCTTGCTCATCATTCTCTGACAAGTAGACTGACGAGGCTCGGAAATGCAATCTATGAAGTGAAAATTGTTCAAAGTACATAGAGGGGCAGTTGTTTTTTCAGATTAAAGCTAGCTGGAAAAATGCTGATAGGAACTGTTTTCCACTGGAAATGTGGTTCCTTTGGGTATGTTAACAGAATTATACTGATTTCACAAAAACTCCTCTTAAGGATAAAAACTGCCTTAAAAAATCACAGTAATCTCACAGTACTCCTTCATGCCATTACACAAGTTATATTTTCAAGCTTTTACTACTCTGAAATAGTTTTACATGTTGAAATGCATGTATCATAAAGTATTTTGGGACAGCAAATGGAATGGAAACTCTCCTATCTTATAAGAAAAAATAATCTGTTCAATTTCCTTACCCCAGAGTATTTTTTTATAGGAAGATTTATCTTCATCCCAACTCTAGAGGAGGACAGATTTCCAAAAGCTGAAAATCTTCTAGTAGGTGCCACTTATGGCAGACTTAATCATTTTATTGCAATCATTTCTGCTTATTTCCCTGATGATCTATAACATCTCTTTGCAGTCTGAACTACATGATCTCCTAACTGACCTTAGAGTCAGAGGTAAGCACAGAGGAAAAGCTGCTGCAGAGGAATTTCACTTAACCCTGTTGTCAAATGGCTGTAGATGGACCTCTGCACAAGCCAAACCAGCTGCCACTTCTCATGGCCATGCTTTCCTGTCCACCTCCCAGTAACTCAGGCCCAGCAAGGGACTTGGCCTTGCAGGTGGAGTCATAAGAAGATTTCATGTTAACATGGAAAACACCTGGTTTTGTGTGCCTTTTGATGGGTTTGGTTTAAATGCTCAAGGTGCTTTGTTCTGATGAGAAATACCTGCCCAACTGCCAACCTTCTCCTGTAAGTTGTCCCTCTGTTATGGAAGGGACCTGGTCTGGTCTGGGTTTGCCTGGAACATCTGGAAGCTGCCATTAGGTCTCGATTTGTGGCTTCAGCTTCCCTCTGCAGTGCAGTGACTGAGTTACACTGATATTTCCTTCCCTTTGGGCTGACTCACTGAGAACATGTAGGCACAGGCAGCAGGTTTCATTAGTGGAGGTCAAATTTCTGCAGTGACAAAACCTGAGATTCAACAGGACTCCCCCAGACACTGCCAAAAGGCTTTTTTTTCCTTTTCCTTCTGCAAACCTCACTTGCTCTTTATTGTCCCTAAGTACTGCTGCCTCCCCTAGGGCTCAATTATTTGGCTCTCTATCTTGCTCTTCCTGCTGCCTGGGTGCTGACAATGGCAGAAATGGGGGCTTGGGTCTCATGCCATTGGCAGCAGTGGGTGCCCTGTGCCTGGTTCCAGCCCTTGGACATCCCGTATCCTGGCACGTTTTCATGGCAGGAGGCTTAGAGATAAGGGCAATGTGCTGGTGAAGCAATGCTGGGAACAACACCCACCTTCTTGTGCCAAGTATTCATTCTCAATGATCCTGGCGAGGCCAAAATCAGCAATTTTGCAGCAAAGTGTCTCTGAGACGAGGATATTGGCAGCTCTTAAATCACGGTGGATGGAGTTCATGCGTTCGATGTACGCCATTCCCTCTGCCACCTAGGAGAGGAGGAAGAGGCTGCCTTCATCATGACAAGGCACCCACCTTTATAAAAACAGAGCATGTGTATAGGGTTGCTCATATGCCTCCATGGGCACAAACATGCATGCTCCATGGATGGATGGATGGATGGACAGATAGATCAGCAGACAGATAGATAAACAGGTAGACAGATACATACATACATAAATAGGTATAGCCATGTATGTGTGAATATGTTCAGCTCTACCAGTATACACCTGGCAACCAAAAGCTTTAAGCAGACAAGTCAAGCAGAACAGAAGCATCACTCTCTCGTTTGCTCAGAAGTTACAGCCCTGAGTCGTGTCTGCTGTGAGACACCGAAAGTTGAAGCAAACCTGAAACCACATCACTGGATTCCTGGTTTCTGCCACAAGGCTCTCCTCTCCAGCTGGTATTTTAATCACAAACAGCCCAGACTAAATATGCCAATTAAAAAAACTCTCAAAGAACTCATCCGCCCCTCAGCTACAGTAGCAAAGTCCAGATCTAGAAGGACAACCAGATGCTTTTCAGTAGCCTTCTCTGTTCTTCCTCACTGTTCTGCTTTGGGATGGGAAGGAGACTCCTGGGGATCCCTCCACAATAAAACTGGGACTGATGTTTTTCTTCCCTGTGCTGGATCCAGACTAGGACCCAGAACACAAAACAGTTCTTTGCTCTGATACCTACAGGATGCATTAGAGCAGAACACCCAGATATCCATCAAAATCTGACTGAGATAGACAGTATTCCAATACAAATCTGTTGTCTTTGGCATGCATTGCCTTCTTTAACCATCTCCAAACTTTGCTTTGGGATGTTCTTGCTCCCAAACTCATCTTGCAGTGTTTAGCTCCTTGGAGCAGGGAGCAGCCCTGGGGAGGCGCCTGATGTGTCACAAGCCTCTATAAATGATGACAGCAATTCTTTATTGCTGGGTGCTGGGACATATAGAAAACAGAGACTGCAAAGTTGCTCTATCGGTTGAGTCTCAGATTTGGGTTAGGCATTTATCAGGAAGGTGAGTGGATGTGTGCAACCTCTTCTAACAATGGTTCATACTTATTAAAGATTGCATGTGTCCGTGGGTGAGGGCAGAGATATTTTCCACTTCATACAGATTCACATCGGCATCTAGACTTACATGTGGTTTTAAACAGGATACTAACACATACTTTCCAGTGCTGTGTTTCGAACCTGTGTCAACACCCCTTCAGCGCAGTGCTGTTTGCTTCAGTGGAAAATGGAAGAATTGATGTAATTTCCTGTCCTGATGTTAATGAGATAGTACCCTTCAATGGGCCCGTTCCAGCCCAGAATGCTTTTGAGCACGCACCCTTGAGACTGGCCACAGGATCTAGTGCTTCGGCCAAGAGATGTCTAATTTTAACTCTGACGGATGCTATTGGATTCAAAATTGTGCTCAAAAGGGTTGTGTGCCTGTTGGGCTGTGATGTCAGCCCAGCACCGCAGATGAACTGATTGCGAAATAGCCCAAAACTTGCCCTTTTCCTTTTCCTCCCCCGGGAGTTACTCAGTGAGTGTTGGAATCCCTGCCCTGAAGAGTTGGTGCCAGTGGGAGGGGGAACGGTGAAAGTTGTCCTTCCGATTGACACCCATGCCTTGAGGGATGGGCAAAATCCTTCCTATTCCATGATCTGTGGCTGGCTTCAGTGGGTTATTGTGTTGTAGGGGTGTGTGGGTCTGGTCCGTGTTCAGCTACCCCAAGCCAGGATGCTGCAAAGAGCAAAAAGGGATGTGATAGGATGTGCAGGGTGAGTGTATCCAGGTGACCATGGAGAGGTGATGTCCATGTGCAATTGCTCAACTCTAGTGATGATGCCCACTGTGGGGACTATTTGGCCATTGTAGTGGATTTCTGGCCAGCTCAAGCCATGCCATGCAGTTACATTCAAGGCTTCAACCCTGAATTCAGAGGGGAGGTTTGGGTGCACAAGGTTGCCCTGGGATGGGTTTCTCCCATGTGTTCCTGCAGCCAGCGTGTTATCAGACTTCTACTACCCTCATGCCTGGTACAGGGAAGATCACTGACCTCTCCCCAGACACTTCCACACTCCTGCCTCGAAATGCTTCTTTACTCCACATGCTCAATGCAACTCCCAGTGTTGAGTTAAATAAAAGCATGAGTACTCATACTTCTGCTGCCTCAAAGCTTGGTATAATGTTGGCCAACAGCTTTGCTCTGGGTCACCCCTGTGACCACAGCTGAGTGCAGGTTGCTCTGGCTACGGCACTTTCCTGCTGCATCAAAATGCATCAAACCAGTCTCTGTGGTAATGACCTCACCAAAACCAAGGGCTCTGTAACATAAATGGATTTGGATCATTCTGCTTAGCATCAGGAATTTAAAACAAAGAGTAGGAATGAAAGAGTGAAAAAGGGAGGAAGGAAGTAGGGAGGTAAAGAAAGAAAGTGGGAAGGAAGGAAACAATGAAGGAAAAGATACCAAACAGTGAGGGTGCAGTTGGCCCCCTAATCTCTCACAAAGATAAAGCTGCAGATAAGGAAGATTTATCAGTTGTGAAGAGAGAAGGTACTGAAACAACTTCCTCTGCTCACTTCATAGGGGTGCAGAGGAAAATAAAAATGGCAGATGGGGACACTGCTTTAATGCATTTAAATATTTTCATCCTGGTTAAAGCAAGAAGGAAAATGTTTTGCTGCCATATAATATTTGCTCAAATCTTAAGATTCTCCATTTTTTAATACGCTACAAAATAGGTCTGGAGGATGGCTGGAGCCAAGCGGCCAGCCTTTACACATTGTTTGTTGCCAGACCTGCACATCAAAATAGCTGCATTCAACCGTGATGCTGATGCTTCATGGACTTTTCCAAAAGTATCCTAACTCTGCTCTGGGTGAGCCAAACTCTGTCAACAGGGGTGGAGCCAAACTCTGTCCACTAGGACCGAAGTGGAGTGATTTTGCCAATCTCAGCCTTCATGTGCAACTTGTTGCCAAGATGCTGCCAGTCTGTGGTTTCCCTGATTTTGACCTGTTTGAGTTTAGATACACTTTTTGACTATAATTTTACAGTTCAGGCTGGGGATGCTCAGAGTGAATAAACACTACAAAGTCAAAGTTTGTTCTCATAAAAAGCAATATTCACAGATCAGAGTGTCAGAACATTCCTTATGCCTAATAATCAGGAGGGAAGAACTGCTGAAAGCCATCATGTCTCTACACTGAAAGTCTCTCCCTTGAGCTTTTTCTTCCTTTTTGGTAAAAAGAGAAGCAAACTTACTTCCTCCTCAGCAAACCAGAAAAACAAACCAAAACCAAACCCAAAACCTAAAACCCAAGCCCCAGTTCTCCAGCACTGCATTAAGTTCCCCTGAGTCTGTACTAAGGACCAGCAGAGCACTGCTGAGCTGACACGCACATCAACACAAGCGGGCTGAGAGAGAAACTCTACGAGAGCACACCAGGAGGTGCTGTTTTTCTCCATGAAAGAGACGCTGTCAGACTTGCAAGAATTTTATAGCAAATCATGGCCTTGAGCAGGTTTCCCAGAGGCTGTTCACTGACCTGAGCAGACATATCAATGAGTTTGGGGAGGTTCAGCTGGCTTCCTTCTTCTGTCTTCAAGTAATCCAGCAAACACCCTGCAAAAGAGGAGAGGCTGATGTAACAATTCTGAGTAAGTCTACACATTTGTTTTCCCCGGTGCTTCTCAGAATATATGCAGCAAATCTGCCTGCATCTTAGAGAAAATACGAGGAATCACAATGGTGTCTGCTGGAGCATCTTCCATTAGGAAAGTTCCCAAATGCAGGTGATTTTCCCCCTTCATTTTGCACAGACCTTTTGCAAACTAATAGGCATTCATCACTCAAAGCCTTATAGAGAAGAGGAGCAAAAGAAAGGTCAACTTCACCATGAGGGGATTAAAAATCTGAAACAAACTCCCGGGAGGAGCAGTGGAGAGGAGAACTTTCCTCTTCAAATGGAGCATCATCATCTTGTGAAGTAGCTTTTGAAATATAAGACCTCAAGAAGCAGCATTTCATTGCCCAGAAAGTCCCTCCCAGTACTAGAAGCAGACTTCTGGATCACTTAGTCCTTCTGTTTACAGACAGGATACAATGCCCTCCTTCCACCCCTATTATGCATGGGAGTACCAGCTAACTCGTTGACCTGATTTTACAGAAACCCAACAAAAACCTCAGTGAGGCTCTTTACCATTGGCCATGTACTCTGTCACAATGTAGATTGGCTGCTTCGTGACTACCGCATATAGCCGGACTAGTTTGTTATGCTGGAGCCTCTTCATCAAGTTTGCCTCTGCCAAGAAGGCATCAGGATCCATGCTGCCCTCCTTCATGGTCTTCACAGCCACCTTGATGTTGTTCTTGTAATAGCCTGCAGAGAAATAATGATGCATTGAGGAATTCTGGCATCTCTACTGGATCTATCAGGCTGCGCAGAAGGATCAGGCAGCAGAAAAACACAGCAACAGCGTTCAATCTCATAAAGAAACACGTAGTAAAACCTGGTGCCAGAGGGTTCAGACAGCAGGTATGAAAGGAGAAGGGACAGGCACAGCACAACCATCAGTCTATGCGGCTTCATTGGGGAGTATCCCTGCTCTGGGTTACAGACACCCATGCAGTGAGCCCATCCTCACACAGTCCTCCCAGCCTTGCAAGACTCTGGATGAAACCCCTGGGGCTCCCCACCAGCTATGTTCTCATAAACCAAATGCCATAGAAAAGCCAGGACTCTGCAGTCCACCAGTAGACTCCGTCTGGTCCTGTCCACAATCTCAATTGCCAAGGCAACAGACAACCACAAAGAGGACAGCAAAGGAAGCTGACCTCACCCCACTTGCTCTGCCACTGATTAGCAGTGGGCAGGAAGGCATAAGGGATTCAGATCTAGGTTATAAAGTGGGACAGGGAAGCAGAAAAAGTGGGATAATGTCACCAAGCTACCCTGCTGTGTGTAACTGAGGATGCTACAACTAAGCCCAGGATTCCCAGGAATAATGAGATCATGTCTCAGGAGATGAGTATATAGTTATTTCAACACCCATCACATGTATCTAGCCTGCAAAACCCTTGCTCAACCACTGATTCATGCAAACACAGCCTGTCTGGTCCTTCCCAGGAGTATGGCATCTACTGCTGTATGTGTACCTATAAATATGTGTTCATACTTTATGATTCCCATGCTCAGACTAGTCTTGTCGTAGGGAAAGAAGATTTTCCATCTTCTCTGTTTATATATTTCTTTCCTGGAATGGGGAGTTATACTTACCCATCCATACTTCCCCAAACTGCCCACTGCCAAGTTTCTTCACAAGCTTCAGAGATTCCCGTGGGATCTCCCATTCATCCTGTGCCCAGGGTCTCTGGGGAACCAGGGATATGCAGGCAGTTGTGAGGCGCTGGCACAGGCCATCCCCTTTCTCTGTGTGAGGACAAAGTACAGGATGTTTCAATGGGATGGCAGAGCTAACCTCCTCTTCCATCTGCACATGCCAGGAAGAAGTCAACCCATGGGAAACCTCCACAACCACACAGATGTTTCAGCCATAGGGATCAAGGGATGCAGAATGGACCCAGTGAAAGCAGAAGGCTCAAAGGGAGCCATAGAGGAGCAAATTTTCCTGCCCAGCTAGTTCAAACCCTGCTTCCCAAGCATCCTTCCTACATATCCCTTCAGCATTAACCTCCTTCCTGATGGAAGACTCTCTCTGGTTATAGGGTTGGGGATAGACCTTACTCTCACAATGCTCTAGGTTGAAAAGCAGGACAGGGGTGCCCAAGTTCTGCTTGTAGGAGGACACCTGGCCCATGGGAGTCAATGGAGTGGTGGTGGTGGCTAGTAAGCCCATGCTCCCTCTACCCACATGTCCACATTCTGCTAAGAAACAAGCCCAACTTACGGCTGTAATGATGGATTAGCTCTGGCAGGCTGGAGAATGTCATCCTGGGGGAGATATAATACCCCCCACCATCTAAGGAGCGGATCCTGTAGTGTTTGATGATGTCCCCATGGGCAGAGTTGCTGTCTCTCACAGACAAGGAATAGGCACCTGGAGAATAAGCAGAAGAAAGAACTGTGAGGACAAGCAGAACCCTACTCAGGGACCAGCTACCTCCCAGCCTACAGCTGCAGATACCTCTCTCAGCCCTTGCTGTTGCCTTCCCAGGCTGCAAAGCTACAATCGTCCCTCTCTCTGAGACAGGTGGAGAAGATAAAGGCTCATCAGAGCTTAACTGGCCCTGCGGAAGCTTCATTGCGTAAAACTTGCCTAACCCTTGGCCAACAGCCCTAAGGAATCAATATCAATCAATAGCACATCTCCAGCCAGAGCAATCAGATACTTATGTTGTGATAGTCCTGCCACAGCTCCGTATCTCCCATCTGAGCTCTGTCAACAGCATCACCTCATCTGGATGAAACAAGTGACTGTAGTCTCACCGGTCTGTAGAAACAAGGATCTGAACCACCCCACCAGCACAACCAGGGTTTCAGTTAGTGGGAGAGGTAAGGTCAAGAGATATGCTCCTTCCCAGCTTTACCCAAGGTCCCTGTAACCCTGTTATCCACTATAACCCCTATACCAAGGTCAGTGTTTTACCTGGGAGGTACAGAAGGGGGACTCAGGAGAATTGTCTTGTTCAGCCATAAACTTGTGACTGTGGATAAACCACATATAGAGATTCACATCTAGATTTATGTGCCTTTTGACCTCAAGGGAGCTGCTTAATGATCTGCCACTCCAACCTGCTATTCTCTCCTTGTAATGGGTTTATAATCTGAACCATAAGATTGGGGTTTTTGCACACAAAAGCATCACTAGATGTTGCTACAGAGCAGCAACTTCCAGCCTATGTCAGTGTCAATTTTAATGCAGTTTAGCAGGGATTCTTTTTTTCCCTTTGTCTGGATCATATTTCCGGAGTAAGCTGTTACAAGCCTGCTGGGCTGTTAGAAGTCTAGTACGTCACCCGGGTAGATAGGCTGCCTTTTTAATGCTTGAAAAGGCAAGGCTATTTATGTTAAAAAGTATGTATCTGTCATGTAGGATCATAAGCAGAAGTGGGGCCTTCCACAGGGACTCTGAAACCATAATCCTGACCGTGAGGAGAAAATTTACTAAGATGTAGCTCTCACTTGCTGCTGCTTCTCCATAGCAGCACTAGCAGTTCCTTACGCTGAGGCTGCAAACCTCTGTTTTAAAACTAACAGAAGAAAACTACCTCTGTGGATATTTGCTTTGTTGAAGTGGTGAGGCACTGGGATGGGTTGCCCAGGGAAGTTGTGAATGCTCCATCCCTGGTGGTGTTCAAGGCCAGGTTGGACAGAGCCTTGGGTGATATGGTTTAGTGTGAGGTGTCCCTGCCCATGGCGGGGGGTTGGAACTTGATGATCTTAAAGGTCCTTTCCAACCCTAACTATTCTGTGATTATAAATCTTTACAAGCAGAATTTGGGATGGTCTAAAATTTTTCCAGGCACTAGGAGCCATTTGTGGGACAGAGACCAGACTGGGAGATAAGGTGGCATAATGTTCATGGAAGATCTGCTGGATTAAATGCAGTTCCAAGGAACCTGAAGACTGGAAACATACAGCCTCAGCGTGGTGGGGTCCTTCTCAGCAGAGGATGAAATTCTTTCCTTTGCCATGAGTGTCAGGCAGAAGACAAACTGAGAAGCCCTTTTGGCTCTATCAGTCCTGCAGCTCAACGTCTTAGATGCAGCCATGAAGAATCTTCAATGGTCAAGAAAAAATTCAAGGGAAGGGTAAAATAATGGCTCATTTTTACAGCCTATGTCTCAGTGACCAAAGGTCACTGAACTAAGGATGTCTTTCCCAGAGAGTGATCTTTGGTCCCTGGTGGGTGCAGGGAGATGCTGCTAGGGCTCAGCACAAGTCCTGCTAGAGTTGATCAGCCACATTCACACTCTCTAGCACTTGGTCCCAGACCCCCTCTGGCTCCTCTGTGGTACCTATGTGTGCCAAATTGTTATTAATGTCCATTATTCATAGATCATAGAATAGCTAGGGTTGGATGGGACCTTAAAATCATCTAGTTCCAACTCCCCTGCCATGGGCTCAGACACCTCACACTAAACCATGTCACCCAAGGCTCTGTCCAACCTGGCCTTGAACACTGCAAGGGATGGAGCATTCACAACTTCCCTGGGCAACCCATTCCAGTGCCTCACCACCCTTACAGTAAAGAACTTCTGCCTTACAGTAAAGAATTTCCTCCTTATATCCAATCTAAACTTCCCCTGTTTAAGTTTTAACCCATTACCCCTCATCCCATCACTATAGTCCCTAGTGAAGAGTCCCTCTCCAGCACCCTTGTAGGCCCCCTTCAGATACTGGAAGGCTGCTGTGAGGTATCCACGCAGCCTGCTCTTCTCCAGGCTGAACAGCCTGGAGAAGAGAAGATTGTTGTTGAGGATGCTGACATTATTTTAATTTCAAAATGATTGAAATAATGTGCAGCCCATCAGATCTGAGCTTCTATGGCACAAGTCCAGGAGGGTGCTTTGCGTGCCTGGGATGTGGCTTAGGGTGTTTGATTTTTACAAGGCAAGGTCTGGTAGAGGAAAGAGCCAAACGTGGTGTGAACTCATCTGCATTGACAACAGACAGCACTGCAGAAGGGAGGGCAAGAATTAAGAACTAACACATGTACAAGGGAGTGCACTGGGGCTGAGAGTCAGGAGGAGAGGAGACCTGGTCTGTTTGGTAGTGTGGTTGAACCCAAAATGCCTGCTCTCCACCTTTCCAGACCCCACTGACCCTTTAAACACCCTTGCATCTTTCAAACCAGTGATGCACAGCATGCAGCAGTGACAGGAGCTCCAGACACCTTCCAGCCCAATCTATCAGCTGTCTGCTCCCAAAGTGAATACTTATTCTGTCATTAGAGTTAATGACTGTATTTTACCCCAAGTCAGAGTTCAGTTTGCTGAAGCGAGTGTGGTAAAGCTTTCCCTGTCATTCACCGCTACAGTTCCCTTGGGAGCTGCAGTCTAAAGCCAAAGCACTGCAGCTGAAAAGCTTCAATTCTCTCTTCTCCCAGGAGCAGCAGCAAAAGAAGGATGTTAAGTGGAGCCAGACAGATGGCAGGACTCCTAATCTCCCCCAGTGATAGCCAGAAGGGGTTCTAGCTCCTCAGCCACAAGGGATATTCTCCTGTCCCACAGCCCTGCATCGCGTCCTGGCACAGACCTGCGCTTGACACCGGCTCAGAGCACAAACAAATCTTGCCCTGGGCAGCTCTCAGTGTCAGACCCTCCTCTTCCAGGTCTGAAATCCCTGAACCATCCTGCAAGGGGTCTGAGGTTCTTTGTTTTCAAAGTATGGCAGGTTTTGTATGGAAAAGAACAACAGAAGATGTAAAGGGTGAGATTCCACTTTGCATCATACTGAGGGTTGACTCAGTCACCTAAACATGTGAGTCAGGTACTGCTTGAGGTGCTCTCAGACACCTGCATGGGCTTGGCAGATATGGTGCAAAACCACATCTTGTGGTAGAGAACCTGGAGATGACCCTAAGATGTTCAGGTTTTGGCAACCAAATCAAGCCCCACTGGCTATGGTGGGAGTTCAAGCAACTGCCACGTGAGGTATCTGCATTTTGATGCCTGGACCTCAGGCCAAGTCCCAGCATGTGGGGCATCTCCTGCTTGTATAGGTCTCATCAGGGTCTTAACTCCTTCCCTATGGGAAACGCAGGAGCTAAACTGAATACAGCAGCTGAGCTCTGAGATCTCTCCTGCTGGGAGCATGGGCACAGCAGTCTTGCTGCAAGCCAGGGCTTTGTGACTTGGTACAGCAGTGTGACTATGCTCCTCCATGTTTCAGAACGAGTATTATTTGAGGGGAAGATTTGTGTTTTTCCAGTAGCTTCAGCAAGGCTATCTCTCTGCCCATGATTATACTGCTTCCCACACTCTCTCAAGGACTGATCTTCCCAGATGCTGAATGAGCCTTTAATGGCCTCTGTAAAGGATGGCTGAAAGCAAAGGCCCCAGGTTGCAGAATTTGTGTGTCTTTAATCATTAGCAAAATGAGACATCGCTTGGGATGGGTTATGAATAGGTGCTGCTCTTAGGAGGGTGCAGAATGCATCCCACTGTGGCTGAGACAAACCAATATAAGACAACCACCATGCAATGCATACAGCTACGGGGGATACTGCCCTTAGCTCAACTCAGTGCTCAGTCCTGAACATCAAAGGTTGCTGGTGCAAACTGAATGAAAATATAGATCGTGGAGGAGGAAAACAGGAAGAACCTGTGGAGCTCGAAGGACAGGCATGGCATTGCTCTGGACATCTCATGGTAGGTCACAGATGCTTTACGTTAGTGATCTCGACTTCATGGCACATTTGGAAAAGAGGGGTTTCTCTTTTTCCTCTTCGCTTTAGAAAGGAGGAAGCTGTGGTTAAGGCAGACCAAATGGTGTCACCATGGCCATTCAGGCAGTCTAAAGCACAGGGTATTCAGGTAATAGCTGATCGCATAGGATGATGTGTTTGAAGGAATAACAGTCATATTTTAGGACAGAATACTAAATATCAGACAAGACACAGGTGAGACTCACATTTCACAGCAGAGATGATCTCGACGATTTAGGACTAACACTGGATTTTCATGGAGTGGAACAGGCCACATCTGCTAATGCAGAGTATCACATGCCTCCAGCTAAGTCTGCTTCTGGACAGCAGAGGTCAGTGACTGAAGACTGGGTCTAGCCTGAATCTCCAGACTCCACCACCTCTGCCCAAGCCCTGTGTGCCCTAGACCCATCCACACTCCAGAGAACTGCAGGAAATGATTTCATCTTCTGTGTGCAGCTTGTGGCCAGCAGAAGTAGGGGGCAATTGTCCTGAGCAAGTGTAGGGGGGAAAGGGAGAGTTCTGATCCCATTGATGTGTGGCCTCTAGGGATGCCACAAAGACTAGGATCATGTGTGGACAGAGGGCCTCACTCCTTCCCAGACCTTCAGATGAAGTGCACGAATGTCTGCTGAGCATGTGTGTTACATTTAAGTTGTAAAAGACCTTTAAGATCATCAAGTCCAACTGTAAACCTAACACTGATGCCAAGTAGGAGGGATGCTTTCCATGAGGATTTGCAGCTTTCAGAATTTTTAGGGAACATTCAGTCAGGAAACACTGAAGAGACTTGTTTCTAAGCATGGTGGTTTAGTCACCATCCATAGGGTTATTTAAAAGACATGTGGATGTGGCATTTAGGGACATGGCTTAGTGGTGGACTTGGCAGTGCTTCATGCACTGGAGGGACAACCTAAACTAGCTTCCAGACTGTCCTCAGATTAACAGCACAGAACAAGGAAATTGCAATTACACAGTTAATTAGTATGGTTAATAACTATGTCCACTGCCCAAGAGAAGTGACCATAATGCTCTGTTCTCTCCATCCTCATTGAGCCATGTCTTCGTATGGAAGGAGAGTGGATGAATTCCACCTTTTCTTCTTCAGCCAGTCTCCTTCCGAAAGTTCTGGTTTGCATCAATTCTCCCTGCTACACACTATCAGGAGAAACTTGTTTCCACTGAGAAAATGTTATACCAAAAGAGCTTTTCCAAAATCCTGCAAGCTTCTGCTGCGAACAGGAGAAAAGCTTCTTCCAGAGTGCATTGAAGAATCTCTATTTGCCAAAAAAAATACCATATCTTCAGTCTTTCCTGCTTATCTGTGCCCCTGCATCTCTGCCACAACCTGTGGTGGCAAGAGCCACCCTTACCACAGCCTGAACTACGCACACAAGTAGCACTATGAGCAAATCTTTGCCCTCCAAACCCTCAGCACAGTTCTACAGCCCTCCTGAGCCTTGCAAGCAATGTTCTGCTGAGCCAGATCTAAGAACCACTGACACAGCTGAATTCACAGCTAGGGTATGAAGGGTCTTCCCAGCCATGGCAATAATGAGGAGTTATCCTTGCTCTGCAGATCTCACCTTTGTTGGTTTCACTCTCTCGGACAAGGAAAGAGCCGACTTTGTTACCAGAAGACAACAGCAGCCGTTCAGCATCTTTTCTGCTCAGAGCTTTAAAATACCACCTGGGAAACAGAGAAGCAACAGCAAAATCATTGCTTGAAAAGGAAAAGATCTTTATAAAATTCTTTCCAGTTACTTCATTTTTCTTTTTTTACCATTACACTCTGAAACTGAGGGTTATTTTCATCAGGAAATAGTTTTTTATCTGCTGGAAAGTGGCAGCAATAGACTGCTTTCAGTAGATTAATTCAGATTTGGGTGTCTCTGGGCTTGTTTCATAGCCTAGCAATTTAGCCAGAGCAGAGAGTAGATTGTACATGCAATATCCCATATGTGAGAGCAGGGCAAGCTCATCTAGAGAACAGCTCTGAGGCACACAAGGACCCAGAGCTCACCTGCTAAGTGGGTGAACCTCGAGCTGTGCCCTGGCAGGCTGTGTATAAAGCAGACACATGTGCTGCAGGCTGAGCACAGGGTGCCCACAGCCATTTGAATATACCCTTTGGATACAAAGAGCATTTATGTCCCAACCACATTTCTGTGTGCTGCTAAATATTTGCTGAATTCAGTGGTGGTTGGGACCCTCCAAGAGGAGCTTGTAAGTGGGACTGATCATTTATAGCTGAATGCCACAGAGGAGAAGAAGTCATGGAAACGATTTTTCCTGCTGCTTGTATTATAGGCATAATAAACCCTTCTGGCTCCAGTCCTTCTTACCATCCTCCTTGCAGGAAGCCAAACAGGCAGGCTGCATCTGGGCTAGTGAAATAAACAGCACCAGGCTATGGGTCTGGGCACTGGTACTTAGTCATCTGCCCTGTTGAACAGTTGGCGTGGTCCCTGGCATATCCAAGACCTGGATCAATGCACCTTCTCACAAGGGATTTCTAATTTACATGCAGATGCCCTTTTAGAGGCTGAGGAAGTTTAACACTGTGTATGGGTAGACTGGCCCAGTGGGACCAGAGGATATTTCCTGGCACTGCTAATTTACCAGTGCAAATATAACCTTTATGTTCTTCCTCCAAACCCTTGTTTTCTATGGTGGGTGCAATTAATGGGACAGGAGTCTTTGCTCACTTCCCCCATAGTGACTTCACTTCCCTCCTGCCCTGCGCCCGTATGGTGCTTAAAGCTTCTCCTGACCTTCTGAGCAGCATCTTGCCACCCAGCCCAGCAGTGACATCTTCCCAACACCAAGTAAAGCTGTTCCCGTTTCTTGCTGAGAGACAGGGCACTGCATCATTGTTAACCATTCACAAGCTTTTGCACTTACTTCTCCTCTTCTAAGCTGTCCACCTGTGCAACGAAGTTACTGGGGATGTAGCCTTTCCTGCCGCTGCTGAGGGATTTTGCCAGCCACCAGTCCCCTTCACTGCAAGGCAAGCAGGAGAAAAAGCTTGAGTGCCCAGAGGAGGTTTCACGACAAGCTAAGGCTGTGGTGACAGCATGGTTTATGGGGTTTGGAGCACTACAAATAGACTAGGGCTCCTTAATCCACAGTACAGGTCTCTCTCAGTTTCCTATGACCAACACCAGGCTGAAGGCTGTTGGTCTCTCAGGGACTTCTGGAGGTGACAGACTCTTTCCATGAATACAGAGTGAACAAAGAGTGACCACAGATTCAAACCTCTTCTACGCGCCCCATGTGAGAGGAGAGAAATCCGGGTCATCATGGGGTTATTTTATCTCTTGCATCGGGGGATTCTTTTTTTGCTTCTTCCTTTTTCTGCTGGATACCACACTGCATACAGCATCTGTTTGAGAACTGTTCCCTCTGGAGGCCACCTCACAAAGCAGTAAAGAATGGAACAGCCCTACACAGTCTGCTGACTGGGAGACCCAGGCCCACCTCTGCCCTGTTATGGTCCAGCCAGATGGACTGTCTGTCCCCCTTCTCACTTGAGAAGAAGCTGAAATGAAACCACACGCCTCTCTGGCTCGATTCCATCCTTTCCTCTGACTACACCCAACCCACATCCTTTGCAAAAGCACCATCAGCACAAAATATGAAACAGGAGCTAGGTTATTGTTGTAATTTATGCTACTTCTGTGCTCATGGACACCAGCAGTGAAGAAGGTCCCAAAGTCCCAGGCAAGGACACCACCCAACCCCATAATATCTGTAACCCATGGAAGTGTCACCTTCCCCACCTTGCAGAGAGAAAAGGGTACCCATAGTCACACTCTGGAGCAAAGATACAACTCATGCTCAGTTTTGGTGAGCTCAAACTGATGTCTGACCCCAAGGTACCCCATTTCTGAGCTTCACCATCCCCATATTTGTACCTCCCTCTGGCAGTAGATCACTCACTTGGAGAGGACTTGCAGTTTCTCCCCCTTGACCAGCTGCAGGTCACGGTCACTTGAGGCAGGAAAATCATACAGTGCGATCACAATCAGGTTATCTGAAAGAAGCAGGAGCATCATCAAACCTATCACTATTGAATTCCCTGACAGATGGGTGATGCACACCCAGGTGTATGGCAGGGCGCTTCACCCCCCCCCACACACACAAGGGGCTGTCACCTGCCCTGTCCCCCCAAAACCCAAGCTTTCCACCACCCCACCTTTCCCGCCAGCCACAACCTCTGCTCAGGGACTAACACTGATTCACCAAAGTGTTTCCTGTGCATGTGTTTTTAAAGCTCTCCAGACGCCCCGATCCACAAAACCCAGTGTGTCAACAAGAAAAAAAGGTTTTTGTGGAATAAGAAGGGTCATATATAACCTGTCAGTGTTTGGCTTGAGTTTTACATGTCTGTAAATGAAAACTGCTGTAGTAACATTTCCTGGAGTGGTTCTGGGATTTGACTCAAAAAGATGAGGCTTTCTTGATTGAAAAAGTTATAAAGTCATCTCAGCCTCTGTTATTTGAGCCCATTGCTAGGATTTAACTCTCCTTCCAGCTGCTCTAGACTCTCTGCCTGTATCCTGCCATCCCTTTACAGCCTTTGCAGATGTGCCACCACATTTAAGTCATGCTGCTGCTTTTGACCCAGCACCTCTATGGCATGTAGCTGTTCTGCTCAGCTGAAATTCCCACAGGAGTGGCACATGCTCCAGGATCCGCTTCCCTCTCCCTGGCCCCAATGCACTTGAGATGCTCCAGACCACGAAACCAGTGCCCTGTGTCTCGCATTTCACTTGTAACCCACCTGGACCAAAGCTGTGAGCAAGTATGCATCTCCATCCCCTGCCCTACCATGTTGCTTTTATTCCAGCCATCTTGGGTGATCCTGAATTTTGGCATAGCAAAACGGACTTTGTCTCCGTGGTGCATGTGAGCCTTGCTGTGTGTGGCAAAGCTGCTGCCTGGTACGTGCAAACCCACCCCAGGGCAGATCTCTGTGGGCTGGAGCTGCATCGCTACATTTGCATGCTGGGGTCGTGCCAGTGCTGCTCTTGGAGACGTTGTGCAACTGTTCACATGTGCTCTGCATGCTCACAGCTACTGGAGCAGAAATGAGCAGCTATTTTGGGACAGATCAGACTTTATAAAGGGGATCGGCACGTGCACATGAGCACAGAAATCAAGCCAAAAGCAATGGTAAAAAAGAAGAAGAAGAAGGAGGCGGAGGAGAAAAAGGAAAAAAGGAAGATTAAAAGAAAAATTAAAAAAGGAAAAGGAAAGGAAAGGAAAAGGAAAAGAAAAAAGAGAAAAAGAAAAAGTAAAAGAAAAAAGAAAAAGGAAAAAGAAAAAGGAAAAGGAAAAGAAAAAAGAAATAAAAATAAAAGTAAAAAGAAAAGCAAAAAAGAAAAAAAAAGAGAGAAAAACAGAAAAGTGAAAAGAAAAAGAAAAAAGAGAAAAGAGAAAAAACAAAAAGAGAAAACAAAAAAGGAAAAGGAAAAATAGAAAAAAAGAAAAGGAGGCCATTTGCTGCAGAAAGGCTTTAGCTCGTACAGAGCCTCATTACTGCAGCAATGAATTATTAGCATTTTCCAAAAGTGACTGTCAAGCCACAGTCTCTGTGTGACCTTTTCAAATAATGCCACCAGCAAGAGCGCCAGACTGGCCCTTTCTCATCACAAGATAACATGTCTCTGGGGCAGCTTGGGTTTTGTGCCTCTGCAAGGCCTGACTGCTGCTCCGCTGGTGGTTTATTGGAGAGGAGGGAGGAGAAAGGGTCAGGGTGAGAGGAAATGTAGCTTTGTAAACCAAAGCCCTGAGCGGTTCCCTTCAAGAGGAACTTGGAGATCCTTGAGAGGTTTCGGCAGAGCCTCACCCTTCCCTGTGTGTGGGGAAAAGGATGGTCAGTCACAAGGAAGAATGCTTTGAAGTCTTAAAATAGGTTGCACAGTTGGGGGCTTCCCCTTAAGGGATCTCAGAGAGTTTGACATTAGCAATGGACCCAAACTCTCGTTGCCTCCTTGAGAAAATTCATATTACAGAGCTTCTCTGATGTGAAAGGGTTTTGGATATGTGCCTTCTGCAAAGGGTCCACAACAAACATGCTCATCCACATGCATCGTCCTGCTCCTCTTGGAAATAAACTAATGCAGTGGTCACACTTTTGCTTTGAAAAATAGAAGCAAACAGGTAAATATCTTCAAGCACAGAATGGCTGCATATCCCAAGAGATGAAATGAAAAATGTAGTTTTGATCTTGAAGCAACTGACAAAAGTACATATAAACAAAACAAAGAGGAAGAAAAAGAGCAAATACAGCAAGGACGAAAAGGTTTTATATGTTGAAAACATACTGTGATCACCTCTTATCCCCCTGCTCAAAATACATGCTGAGAAACAGTGCACACTTAAGTGAGCCAGAAGAAAAGCTCTCTCTGCTCAAGCCAGCAAGACTTGCCATCTCATGATGAAAGTAACTCTTCCTGTCTCTGAGTTTGTCACCTCACTAAGAAACAGCATTGATAATACTTTCTTGGCCTATTTAATCAAGTTAGGTCATGAGTGACTCTACAGTAGAGAAGCCGTCGGGGCTGTGAGGAGTGACTGCTTTGCAGATAATGCTAGCAGTCCGGAGACTTTGATTGCGAGCCAAATACCTCCTGGCTCAGAGCTGCTGTCAAGAAAGTTAGATACTAGCCCGGTTTGCACAGGCTGAGTGCCAGTTTGATGTCTTAATTGAAATGATTCAACCAGTCTTCTGCCCCATTGTGAATGGCAGGTCTTTGAAATGTCTCATGGCTATGGAGCAGGCTGAGACTGTGCTGGGGTCCCCCAAAGGGCCCCTAGTGGATTTAGAGCCATGCTATGATGGTCACACGGTAAATGACAACAAACGTTGCATCTTCCATCTGGTCCATAAGCCCATGGGTGACAGCATGGGTGATATCTCCTGGGACATCCAGACTTGCACTGCAAAAGTTTTTTTCTGCCTTGTGTTTTGACACAGTGAATGTTTTTGCAGATAATTTCTGATTTTGATATAAAAGCATTGAATCCCAGAATCCCAAGTTGGAGGGAACTTCAAGGATCATCTGGTCCAACCTTTCTGGGCAACACATGACCTAGACTAGATGTCCCAGCACCCTGTCCAGCCGAATCTTAACAGTGTCCAATGCTGGGGAGTCCGCCACTTCCCTGGGGTAGATTATGCCAACAGCTGATTGTATGAGACCTAAACTCATAACATTTTTATTAGAAAATCAGAATATTTTGGGCAATTCCCTCTCATTTTCTTCCCTCTCTTGCTTTTGATTGGAAGTGCCCATTTTTTATGAACTTTTAATTTCTCATTGATAAGTCAGCCTTTTCATTAGAAACAACCCCTCCTTTTCCCAATTAAGCTCAAAGCCACATTTCTGACAACATTCCTTTCAAACTCAAATCCATATTCAGAGAACAGCAATAGAAAAGACTAAGAGCTTCAATGATAATCTTGAGATTCTTCAAAGGACTTCAATTTCAAGCGCATGCTAAGCTCCCACCCCCTGAAAATCAGTCCTATTCATATTATGGTTAGCCAAAATCAAGGGAAGAGGTAGAAGTTGCAGTTTCTCCATGAGAAGAAATGACCTTGCAAAGAGACCAATTCTTAGTGCTGTCGCAGCTTATTATAATGCCTCAGAACAAGCACCCAAACCAACCAACTCTCTCTGTCAGTAGTACTGAAATGCAGCTGTGAGCAGCTGCAGGGCAAGGGCAGAGGTTATTCTACCTATCTACTGTGTCTTATCTACCCAATGCAAGTGAACAGCAGCAACTGTAGCACTGGAGCTGTTGGGTTTGGGGATCACCATCCTGTGACAGGACTTTGCTGTACCGAGGCCTAGAGGTGCAGAATTAAACAGAAGTTTTGACTCTATACAGATATAGAATTGACTTTAAACACATCACAAGTGCTTAGGGAACCATGTTAAAATGAATGGGAGACTCACAGGATGGAAGAGCCCACCCCAAGTGGAAAGTGGATTAGCAATGCTGCCAACACTGCATTTGAGTCCAGAGCTTGGCACTCCTTGCCTGCCTTTGTGTTATTTCTATTAAGATAAATAGCATCAGGAAGAATTAGGCTTTTGTTAGGCTAATATAAAAGAAATACATGATTTCTGAGACAGTGGCATGAAAACTTGAAACTGCGAAACAAGTTGCATGACACTGAGATCAGACAAAAAAATCAAAATGCCGAGAATTCAGAGAAAAAAGAAAAGCAACCCACCATCACCTAACAACAAAAGAAAACAAGGGAAAAAGAAGGCTTTGATTTTAGATTCCATGCCACACTTCCATAGCCAATAATTTTGCCTGATTGAATTTGAACTGCTCCCACAAAATTTAATTCAGCTTTTCGACATTTTTACACGATTGAATTGTCTAGATTTTGTGCTTTCTCTATCAACTCAATTGGATTTCCTTCTGTCTTGAGAATATGTCAGTTATCTCAAATATCTTGCATGGTTCCTATCAGCCCATTTTGCCACAGAGGACAGAATCAGATATAGCAAGCATCATTTCTTCAGCTCAGGCACTGGTAGAGAAAAATAAGAAGTGCCCCAGCCTGTCAGTGTGAATATTCCTCCAAAACTGGAACTGAACCTTACAAACCAAAATATTTTTGAGAGCTGAAAATGGCTAACATGGTGCTTTACGCGTTTTATAGCATCTTTCCACTTCTGCCTTCTGGCATGAAGCAGAAGTAAAAGCCGCCTTCTGTTGTGCTTCCCACCAGAGGGAGGAGGTTGATAAAAACCCTGTAAAAAACTGGCAGTGCCCTCTCAGTTGTGGAGGCAGGAGAGCACGGCCGCTTAGGAATGTGTCATCGTGTCATGAAAACAACTTTGCAAAAGAAAGCATGGTTTCTCCAAAAGGACGGAACTCCCATGGAAACGTTCCTTATTCACATGGTTGAGGAGCTACACCTCCCAGAAATTTGGTCTCATAACAAATATCAGTTCTGAAAAGCATTCTGACTTTGCAGGAGTTCCTCTGTCTGCCCCATGATAGAAACTCCCTCATCATCCTTTACTCATACCCTGTCTCCCCTAACGTCCACTTCTGCCACATAAGGATCTTCCATGTGTTGCTAACTCCTTTCTTCCAAGCTTCCTCTTTTTTTTACCTGCTTCTAATTCTCTCTCTCTCTGTCCTTAATCTGCAAAATGTCTTTAAACAGAAACGTATACAAGTTGTTGATGGAGGCTGGGCAGAGGTAGCAGAAGTTTTCTGCTAAAAGGCAATCATCTACCAACCACCATCTGCGACCTGCAGATAATTGAAGAGGTAGATGAAGCCAGCAAACAGTTTCCAAGCAGGGGCTCTGCACATCCTTATTTTATACTCTTTCCTTTCTTCTTGTTCTCTTTGTAGTCTCTCTGGGTTTTCTGATGCCTGCTATTTCCTCTGAAATGTTCAGCTGGCTGGATACAGCATCCAGAAGTTGTCACACTGCAGACAGGGCAGCAGACAGAGAAATCTCATGCAGTCGATGTCTCAGATTGCACTTTGCTCAACTGGTGAAGGAGTGCTTTTCCCTCTTAATTTCTTTTATGAGCAGGGGAAACTGGCAGCTACAAACAGTCAGTCATGTAAACTAAATCTTCCAAGGCACAGTGATAAACTCCCCGCCTGGCAATGCTAAAGATACAGAAACCACATGCCTGAGACATGACGGCTTGTTCTCAAGACCTGGTGCTGGGGGACCTTGCAAACCCTCATGTGAAGGCAAAGAAAACAGTAACAGAGCTAAGAGTCTTACCTTTTACAGAGGCTTGGTTTAGATGGGGGATGCTGATAAATTGTCTTCCCTTAGGTAGAAATAGAAAGAAAAAAGACATTTATTACTTTACTGTGTTTGCAGGAAGAGCTGCTCTCAGCTTCACAGATGAGCAGGAGTCTGAACCAGAGCCCTTTGTAGTCAATCAACAGCTCCTGCTCCTGGCTGTGTATGTGTTGTGATGGCTTTAGCATATTTTACCTTGACATATTCTTCAACGTCTTAACTGTCAGCTTGAATAATCCTTGGCTTCCCTCCAAATAAAGGAATAAATCTGCTATCCACTCATTTGGACCATGTTCTATCTAACTTTTTATTCCCTCATGCCAGATTTCAGATAAATGGGAGATGAGACATGAGTGATCTTGCTGAGAAATTACAATTGTAATATTCTTTGAAGCAGAAAACTGGGGATATTCTTTGCCATAATTGTCCCAGGGATTGTGGAATGCCCTTAGCTCAGGGATACGTTAAAAACATGGGGGCAATGACCGTATTGGCAAATTAAACAGCAGCAAGTTACTGCAACTCATCTGGGTACACCCTTAAAATGCTGACATGATCCTTAGCCTGGCTTGGCCCAGACCCTGAGAGTGGCCAGTTGACCATAGACCACTACTAATCAACAGCTGGAATATAATTACCTTGCTTTGTGGGCTAAGAGATTTATTGTGCAAATGGCTTGGTGGGCTTCATTTGCCTCTCTACTCAACTTCAAACACCAGTCCTCTGATCAGGACCTAGTGACTAGAGTGGGTGTTTGACCACTAACAGTATTTTTATACACATGCAAAAGGAGTGAACTGCAGATGCTGAATTAGAAGTACCAAGTATTTCCTGTCCACACCACTACTGGACTCCTACTTAACAGCAGTGTGCGGTGGGAGAGCTGCTCACCCACTGCCCTTTCTAATTTAACCAAAAGAAATATGGACTTCCCCTGACATGTGAGAGCTTAGTGCCTGTGGCAAAAAGAAAATGAGTGTCAGAAGGTGATTGATGATACTGTATTTACACTGAGAGCAGCTCCTCTCCCCAGTGAGCTGGAGAGAAGGAAATGAAGGAAAAGAACATCTTCTTGCTCAATCTGACATCTGCTGTCATGAAAACTGGACTTAATAACCATGGGAGAACTTGGGAACTAAGCTAAAGGAGTGAAAAACATCTCCACTTGCCATCAAAAGAAATTACAGGCAATTCCTCCCCCTCTCAGAGCTCAAGACCCAAGAACGTTTTCACATGGCACCTGCACCTTTTATGTTGGCTGCTGGATTCAGTGCTGACAAGGGCAATTAAGAACAACTTGATGTCTTCTGTACAGCAACAGACATAGATAAAACGATTTCCGAAGTTTAAACAGAGTTTGTAATTTGAAATCTCCTAAATACTGACCCAGTGTCTTCCTGATCTGTGCCCATGCAAGCAGAGGCCACATGAATCCAAAGGGAGCAGCAGATCCTCAGCATTTCTCATTCTCAGCCCACCCCAACACAGATTAGCTGTAGAACCTCTTTAGAGAACCTGTTGTTCCCCCTGATGGTAAAGTTTCCATTGCGGCTTGCAGCTTTGAATCTTAGCCTGAATCTGACCCATCTTTGTGCTGTTTGAAAGTCAGCAACATCAGCCTGAGCTGCAGAGTGCTGAGGGCACTGTCTAAAAGGTATGGGGCTCAACTTGATGGATTTGTGACCAAGGGATGTAGAACACACAGCACCTTCTCTCGCTGTCTCCTGCCCTGCACTCCAGTCCAGCCCACACAAATAGTCGTGCCAGGTTCAACATGACATACTCTTTCAGACCATCACTATCCCTAGCCCATGCAGACAACTCATGGCAACAGCATACCCCCAAAGAGAAAATGGCATCCTTTTTGACAGAGTGAAAACCCAGAGAGAGAAAGGCTCAGCTGGATAGTTCACCCCATATCAAGAAGCTCCTAGGAGGAAGCCAGGCATAAAGATCTGTTTTCTGCCCTTTGGATGACATTTCCCAATTGGTGACCAAATTTTAGGACATAGGACAACTCAAGTTCCTGCTGGCACACTCAAATACTGCCTGCATCACTCAAGACACTAAAGTGAACCTGTGGAGGATCAAAAAGGACACAAAACTGCAGGCTTACCTTGGGTGGCGCAGAAGGTTTACTCTTGCTTTTGGGATTGCTTCCAGAGGCATGTTTTTCATTAGACATCAACTGATTTTTGCTCCCGAGCAACCCCATCCTGGAAGGAAGACCAGAAATTGCTTTTCAATGAGACTGCTCCTGGGAAAGAGGCAGGCACTAAGGGGCAAAACCATATTCTTATTCATGAAGAACAAGTTGGAGATGATAACTCAGGGAAATCAGGCAGTGAAGAGTCTAAAATCATCCTGTCTACAGTCCTCCTACTACCTTAGAACTTGCGTTTGGGTTACTGTGCAACTCTGGTATTTCACACTTTGCAGGTGAGGCTCAGACAGACACTATAGGTCATCAGAAAGAAACTGGAACAAATCACTGCTTCGAGTATGTCCCCTCTTCAATGCAGAGATCTCCAGCTGTCATTGAGCAGACTTGCTCCAGAACTGAGCGATGCCACATGCAGGCACTGCTGGAGGGTCGAAGAGGTGGTGCTGAAGAACCTGGGGCATATCCCTGTGCAGTTCATGTGTACCAGTTCTTCAGGAGGGTCATGCAGACCCTGGAACAAGTCATACTCCTTCTGCTCAGTGCTTTCCCTGCATCATGTCCTTCCCACACAGCAAGAGCAGTATGCAGATGTGGTAGCTATCTGCATAGTACCATCCCACCGTTCCTCATGCTTAAGCAGCACAGATGCAGACTCAGTTTGTCTATGAAGGCATGGACTTTATGCAATACATTGGAGGACTGCAAGAAGCTTAGGGAGTCAAATGTGGTGTAACTTGTACCCATCCTGACTGTAAAGTGTGGGCCTAGGGCTTGACTCAGTCATCCACATGCAACGCTCTAGTACCCTTTGATGTGCCCTGGGTTCTCATAAGGTGTAGGTCTCCCATACATCATGGGTTATGTTTCCCAATCCCATGTGAGTGTCTCAAGGATCACTAGGCACAAATGAATCAAACCCTTTCCATGGACAATCCTCTAGTCCACACTAAGGTTTCCACACTCATGCTTGAGGGATCATTTAAATTGCAGCCCAGAAATGTAATTTCAGCTCTGGTCAATAATTCTAACATTATACTGGGTCTGGATAGTCAAGATAGATAGCCAAACCATGGCAAACTCAGCCTATTCTGCCACCTGAAAAAGTAGGGAACAGTTGAAGCCAGCACTACTTAAGTGCTGTTGCCATGAGTATATGAAGCATCTACACCACCAGCACCAAAGTCTGCACCAGACCCTTCTTTGAACCAAAGGTATTGAAAGGTGTGGGCTACATGTCTGAAACCTGAGTACTCATAGCTGAACAAAGACTCATTGGCTCTTATTCTTGCCAAATTACCTGAAGGTCTGCAATGAACATGGAGAATCCAGGACTGGAGGTCCAGGAATCAATATGGTTAGTCAGTTCCCCCAGATGTCAGCCTGGCACTGTGTTGTGATAGTCAAACTCCCAACAGATGTGTTCAAAAAAGCTTCCAGCAAACCAGACTTGTGGGAAAAAACATCCCTGTAAAAGCAACTTTTTTCCTTTCTAGCACCTTATCTAATATTTCAAAAACTGGGACTCCGAAATGAGGTTTCTATATATATTTTTTGAAGTGTATTTTTTTTTAAATTATCTTCTCCCTTCTGTCTTATTTTTATTTTCATTGGCAAAGTGAGCAAACTGGAAGGAATTGGTGAATTATTTCTGCCCAGGGAAGTTGTGAATGCTCCATCCCTGGCAGTGTTCAAGGCCAGGTTGGACGAGGCCTTGGGTGATATGGTTTAGAGTGAGGTGTCCCTGTCCATGGCAGGGGGGGCTGGAACTAGACGATCTTAAGGTCCTTTCCAACCCTAACTATTCTATGATTCTATGATTCTATGAAATATTCCAGGATAACCCAGTACACATTCCCCCCCCCACTCCCAATAAAAAGGTTTTCAGCATCCAAACTTCTTTGAGCTTTTCTTTAACCTGAGTTTACAGATGGCCCATCCATGTATACCCAGGTCTCAGCACTACTCTGGGCACTAACAGTCGGAGGGGAGGTTTCCGCCACTGAATCAGCCACAGCATTTCCTGCAGCAGGTTAATTTTAACTTGGCAGCGTCCCTTACAGGTTGCAACCAGGGTTTGCTTAGAAAACCTGGTTGTCATGCGATGGCACGTGGTTTATTAAGTAAGTGAGCTTTTCCCGCGCTTCCACTTGCAAATTGTTAGAAGATATCTTTGCACCAGGATTTCTGAATCTGAATGGTGTTATTTGCTAGGATAGTGAGAGTATTTGGAGCTCCCTTTCCATCCAGGGAACTGAAAGGTATCATTTTAAGTCAAGGCAAAGGAGATATAGATTGGCAATTGCTGTCTTTTTGGCAGAGTTAGAAGATTTGACATATAGCACAAGTCAGCAATATGTTTTGGCCATCGGTCATGTCATGAGGATGGTTTTATGAGAGGACAGATGGACCCTCTACGTGATGGTGTATGCATGTTTTGGGGTTTTGTGTTGCTCCCAGTTACAGCCCTGGTGGGGCAGAATGGGAAAGGACATGGAGGAAGGTCAACCTCGGCAAGTCCCACCAGGGGTCTGTGGCCATCCCAGCTCCTCTGACAGGGTTTGAGAGGAGTGGGGACCATTCCCTAACCTAGGAATTGCATAGAATCATAGAACTGTTAGGGCTGGCAAGGATCTTGAGATCATCAAGTTCCAACCCCCCTGCAGCAGGCAGGGACACCTTCCACCAGAACAGGTTGCTCCAAGCCCAGTACAACTTGGCCTTGAACACTGCCAGGAATGGAGCATTCATAACTTCCTTGGGCAACCTGTTCCAGTGCTTCACCACTGTCCCCACAGCTTTCCTGTGTCCATGAGGACACTGCAAGCCTTTACGCACTGTGCTGAGGCTGGAAATACCTCTCTGCATGCTTACACAAGTTGAGCTTTCAACCCACACGCTTGTGTCTAAGACACATCCGTGCAAAGCGGCACAGAAACATGAACGACAAGTCCCAGCACGGGTGGGAAATGGAACCAGAGAAAAACCTCCCACAGAGGCCACTTGCTCCCACCCACACGCAGAAGCCAGCACAGCTCTGGCTATTCACAATCCTTATGAAATCTGCTGGTCACACTCTCCAGGTTGCCTCTGCAGCCTTTGGCAGCCAACGTGACCATCCTTCATGCCGGCAGCTGGTTTACAAACTCCCAAAATAGTGCAGCAGACAAACGTTGTCAGATGTGGAGAGCTGCTGCCGAGCTCCCAGCCCGCAGCTGATGGAGCTTTCTTTTTTCTTTTAAAGTAATCTTTTTCTTCCAAAAAAGGTGGCTGAGTTGAACGTATGTGGCTGAGTTGAATGTATATGGCTGAGTTGAACGTAAATTGTTCCACAGTGTTTCTGCTTCTGATTAATGCTTTTTAAAATTAGCTTCACAATAAAAAAGAGAAAGCTGATAGTAGTTCTCCCAGCTTTTTTTGTTTTCTTCTTTCCAGTGGAAAAGAGCACTGAGGGAAAGAAAGTAACTCGGAAAAGCATGAAAATTTCCTTTTGCGAACTCGCAGTTCTTCACATCTAAAAATGTTGGTTTATATGTAATAACAGAGAGTGGGGAAGCTTGTTTCCTCAACTTTACTCAGGTTAAAAAAACCCAGAACAGAACAAAAAAGATTTAAAGCAACACAAGGTTTTTCCATACACTTAAAATGTTTTAGCAAAAAATAGTCCAGCTTAGCTGCTGATAAGAATTATTAGTGTTGGAAAGGACCTCTGGGGATCATCGAGTCCAAAACCCTGTCAAGGCAGGGCTGCCTAGAGCAGGTTACACAGGAACGTGTCCAGGAAGATTTTGAGTATCTCCAGAGAGGGAGACTCAACCTCCTGTTCCAGTGCTCTGTCACCCTCCACGTAAAGATGTTCTTCCGTATGTTGAGGTGAAACTTCTTGTGTTTTAGTTTACGGCCATTAAGTTTGGAGTAAAGGTATTTTATGCAGAAGTCTTCCTGGGAGACTCAAGCAAGCCTTTGTGAAGAAGGCAATAGGCACCAGGACAGTGAGCTCAGTGTATAACCCAGCTCTGAATGTGTGTGGGGCAGATGTGTGTCAGAGGAACACTGGATGCTTGCATAGGACCTTTAACACAAGCTGTGTGCTCCATGTTGCAGGATGAAAGCAGGTAATTTCAGTAACCTTTAGAGGGGCAGTTTGAGGTGACATTTCAGCTAGTGAGAGCTGGATGCAGGTACAGATGTTCCTGCAGCAACAGGCCTAGGGGAGGTTTTCTGAAGATCCCACCACAATGCCCTGCTCCAACAACACTTTCGCTGGTATTTGGGCAGCATCTCTGTAGTGGACAGGAAAGGATATGACTAAATGTCCCATCACACAGATGCCTTCAAAGAGGGTTGGAGAACATACCTTACAGGAGCAACCATCAAGCTTAACTTGGAACTCCAGGGAACCAAGGTCCAAGAGAGGCAGACACAAGTCTTTGTTGCCCACAGAATTTGGAGACCTGACTTGCCACTATGCTTGGCATGTTTTGAACGCCAGGGTGGGCTAAACCAACAGGGCAGTGTCAAATTGGACCTGCCCATGCACTTACTCTTTTTGTTGCAGTACATCAGAGGTTAGGCTGGAGGTACTTGGACGAAGCCAAGCACTGCAAGCATTTGCAGTCTCATCTTTACGGTAAGCAGCCCTGCACCATACGTGCACCATCTACTGCAGCTGGCTGGTTTCCACTACCAGAGCAAGAGAACTCAAAAGCTGTTTCTGATGTGCAGGCAGCAGCATCTTCTGCAAGAAGGACATGGATGACATGGACAAGCAGCCTTGGGATTGCATGGGCAGATGTGGGGGAAAACCAAGACAGAACGAAGCAGAAAAGCAGAAGTCTCAGCTCATCATTTGTCTCACCCTCATGAAACTGTGCCATGGAAAAATAGGTTAAGACCCAAGCAAGCCAACAGTGTTTCACTGTGAGGGCTTCTCCAAAACCACCCTCAAGCCCACTGAAATCACAAAATGAGCCCCCTTTCCGTTCAGATTTCAGGGTGGGTCCAATAAGACATTTTCACAGTTCACCAAGATTAGATATCTCACTTATTATAAAA